CAGAAAGCTTTTAAGTTTCTAGTAATAAAATCTTTTAAGTAATGTTTTCCAGATTTCATTTTTTTCTTAGAACTAGAGATGTCGCGGATTTTAATATTCGCAATGATATGGGGTTTTAACGTACAATTAAAAGATCAACCTTTTTTTAAAGTAAAATTTGTCAAATTTGACCGAAAAAACCTTTCTTAGGGTCATATTAGTCATCCCAAAACAGGGGGCCTGATTGGTTCAACCGTTTTTACGTGTTTTAATACAAGCCTACAAATAAACCATTGACAAACAAGACCAGGAACAAAAATAAAATTGAAAAGAAATTTTAAAAGAAATTCTAACCATTCTGAGGAGAAAGCCAGTGTGGGGGGGGGGGTCCGGGTAGATAGAAAGTTTATATTATTAACTATTTAACTAATATATTATATTTAATGGTAATATCTTGGTTCCTAACGCTCATGAGATGCTTAGAGGTGTATAAACACGGTGAAGGAAAGGTCATCACAGACACACACAATTTCATACGAACACAAACACCTAAACGTAGCATTTACAGTTGATGCATATGGTGCGTCAATAAACATCACAACAAAAGAGCTCTGAACATTCTTATTTTATTGTTTTTAAACATCAATCTGTATCTCGCGTTATGGGGTGTATCAGCCTCTTTCCTCATATAACTCGTCTAGGATAGAATAAACTTCTCATCCTCATATAACTCGTCTAGGATAGAATAAACTTCTCATCTTTTGGTTAAAAAGTAACTTTATTATTAATATTCGATTTCATTAGTTTATTTTTTGAAGAACTACTCTAAAAATATTTTTTGTATCTGATTATTGAATAAAAAGTGCAAGACGGAAAAAGGCAATAATTTCTGAAAATAATGGCGCAAATGCCCTAAAGCCTTTTTTAGAACAATAAATAATTAAGAAAAAATATTTATGTATTAAAAAATGTATATTTGTATTTATATAACAGAAATGACTATATATACATATATATGCTCCAAAAAAAATAGTTGAAAGGACACAATTTATAAACTTATGGGATATGGGATGGTTATATTAGTATTTCATTATTTGGCATCTTATCGTCATTGTTAATATATATGTACAGGGAGGCTATATATATATATATATATAGTATCCCTGTATTTGTAGTTTATAAGAAGTGAAGTAGCAGAGGCGAAATTGTCTCTAACGATAAACTTTTTATCAAATCAGAGTTTATTGGAATCTCTTTCTAGATTCTTGCCAGACAGGGTTTCCAATATAATATAAATACACAGGACAGGGTTTCCAACATAATATAAATACACAGGACAGAGTTTCCAATATAATATAAATACACAGGTTGACAGGGTTACCAATATAATATAAATACACATGACAGGGTTACAAATATAATATAAATACAAAGGACAGGGTTACCAATATAATATAAATACACAGGACNAAAAGAATTAATAAAAGTGTTTTAAAGTCACATTAAGTTAAAAACTATAGCGCATTTGAATAATGGAAATGGTTTTAAATTAAAGGGGTTGAACGATACGGAATTCTTTTAAAATGAAAGTGTTTGCAAGATAGAAACATAAGAAATGTATGGAATTATTCCAAATGAAAGTGATTAAAAGATAGAAAGATATGGAATTATTCCAAGCTACAGTTTTTGAAAGATAGAAAGATATGAAACTTTTTCAAATGAAAGTGATCAAAAGATAGAAATATATGGATTTATTCCAAACTAAAGTGATTTAAAGATAGAAAGATATGGATTTATTCCAAATTAAAGTTTTTGATAGATAGAAAGATATGGAACTATTCCAAAGGAAAATGTTTTAAAGATAGAAAGATATGGAGTTATTTCAAACTATAGCGTTTGAAAAATAGAAAGATATGGAACTATTCCAAAGGGAAATGTTTGAAAGATAGAAAGATATGGAACTATTCCAAAGGAAAATGTTTTAAAGATAGAAAGATATGGAGTTATTTCCAACTATAGCGTTTGAAAAATAGAAAGATATGGAACTATTCCAAAGGGAAATGTTTGAAAGATAGAAAGATATGGAACTATTCCAAAGGAAAATGTTTTAAAGATAGAAAGATATGGAGTTATTTCCAACTATAGCGTTTGAAAAATAGAAAGATATGGAACTATTCCAAAGGGAAATGTTTGAAAGATAGAAAGATATGGAACTATTCCAAACTATAGTGTTTGAAAGATAGAAAGATATGAAACTTTTTCAAATGAAAGTGATCAAAAGATAGAAATATATGGATTTATTCCAAACTAAAGTGATTTAAAGATAGAAAGATATGGATTTATTCCAAATTAAAGTTTTTGAAAGATATAAAGATATGGAACTATTCCAAAGGAAAATGTTTTAAAGATAGAAAGATATGGAGTTATTTCAAACTATAGCGTTTGAAAAATAGAAAGATATGGAACTATTCCAAATGAAAGTGTTTGAAAGAAAGAAAGATATGGAACTATTCCAAAAGAAAATGTTTGAAAGTTAGATAGATATTGAAATATTCCAAATTTAAGTGTTTAAAGAAGATAAAATGATTTAAAATTATTTCAAATGCAAGTCTTAGATAGAAAGATAGAAAGATTATTTTCAAATGGTTTTGGATTCTCTCCAGACTAAGATTAACTAAAGCTGTAATAAAATTCTTCTTTCACCAGCCCCCCCCTCTCATATCCTCGATCCCCCTTCATTACCC